GTGAATTTAACGCAAACGTCTGAATTAAAGTCTTATATTACTAAGTTTCGGTAGTTGCTAGCCCGAACAGCTCGAGTGTCGACTCACATGCAAATCAAAATTTTTATGGCTGGACTTCGAGAGGCAGTACGTGTGGAGGTCGAATACCAGGAACCCACTGATCTTGACACAACCATGATGCTTGCCAGAAGCAGCGAGCGCAAATTCCTCGCAGTACATATGGATCTGGTAGGTCAAGCACTCAAATTCCTCACTTCGTTATCCTTGAGCTGACACCCGTAAAGAAAAATTACAACCCTACATTTAAAAAATTAACCCGGGCTGAAGTTGTTGCACGACAAGAAAAAGGATTATGCTACAATTGTGATGAAAAGTGGATCCGTGGCCACCGGTGCAAACGATTATTTTTTGTCGAAATTGTGGATGACGACTTTGAAGTGGCCCCTGAAACCAAGAGTGAGCCCTCCTTGCCAATCAACGCAATGACTGGATTCGGGTCACATTCCACCATGCAACTAGCCACAACCTTGATTGGTCAGTCCCTAACGAATTTGGTCGACTCGGGAAGTACTCACAATTTTATCCACCAACGTTGGGTCCCCATGAACACCCTGCAGCAGCACTCGGGCACCCGCCTACATATTTTGATGGCTAATGGAGACCGGGTACCCATTGTTTTCCACATATTTGACACTCTGGGCGATTATGTTCCAGATTTGGCTGAGTAGCATAGGGCTTTTGATTGTTTCTGCCATCACGCCTGCCATTGTTGTTGAACCTGTTTCGTCCATTGTTGTTGAACCATCCATTATTGGGCTTCTGACCATAGTTAATGGGTTGAGGCCCTGGTCCTAAGAGAGAGGGGAGAGACTGGACAGAACTGGAGATTTGGCGTGAAGCGGCTAGAGCAAGAGGATCACTTGTTGGCTGACTTCCTAAGGCCGCAGGGTTCGGAGTGGTGATAGTGCCAGAGTTTGCTTTCTCCTTGCGATGACATTTTTCTTCGAATCCAACGAGGAGAGACTGGAGGTCTTCAAATCCATAGGCTCCGTGAGTCTCAATTGAAGACATATGAGATAAGGGGGGGAGTTTATTTGAAGAAGGGGAGGCGGAAGAAAAAGGGTTTTCAAACCCGTTAGAGGCCATGGAAGGGTTGGTTAGAGCTCAAAAATGGCTTTGATACCATAATGAATTTAGAGAGAGGTAGGAATTGATAGGTAATTGCTTAGTTTATTGATGCACAGATTGTATAATTTATATGGGAAATTTCTAAGCTATTCAAGGTAAGATCATATATGAAATATATTACAATAAATGTTGAAGATCAGATTTGATTCTATATGAAATATAACATAATTAATGTTGTAGATCAATTTGATTTGCAGTTCCTTCAATAGGTGGCAAAGATTATTTTTGCTGAAATTGTCAGACTCCACGGACTACCAGAATCAATTGTCTCAGACAAACATAAATCTTTGTGAGTAACTTTTGGAGGGAGTATCTTCGGCCTACCACCCTCAAACTGATGGCCAGTCAGAAATTGTCAATCGAACGGTAGAAATGTTCTTGCGTTGTCTAACTAGTGCACACCCTCGCGAGTGGGTTTGTTGGCTTCCATGGGTGGAGTATTCTTACAACACTTCTTACCACACCGCTTTGGGTGACACCCCTTTCCGATTAGTTTATGGGCGAGATCCCCCCAAACTGGTGACATATACCCCTGGAACAGCAAAGCTAGAAGGCGTAGAGCAGGAACTCCTGAACCGCGACAACATCGTATCTGAGGCTAGACTACGATTAGCTCACGCACAGAACCGCATGAAACAATACTATGACAAAGGGCACCACGGATTGTCTTTCACGGTGGATGATTGGGTCTGGTTACATGTGCATCCATACCAGCAGTTAACACTGGTCTCCCGTCACCATAAGTTACTGCCGAAATTTTATGGTCCCTGTCATGTATCTCGCCTCAAACCACACAAAGGACCCGTACCAGAAACCATGGGTTCCTTGCCACCACAAGATACTGTCCCAGAGATTTTGAGGCCATCCACAGTGCTGCGCAGTCGGCTGAATCGAATCGCGGGGTAATGGAGGTGCTGGTCCAGTGGCTTGAGAAGCCCATAGAAGAAGCTTCTTGGGAAACCGTGGCGTCATTTCGCATGGCTTATCAAAATTTTAAGCTTGAGGACAAGCTCTTTACTAACGAGGGGAGTGATGTTGTGGACTCCTTTTGGGGCCACACTTATAAACGACGCATAAATGGTCCAAAGGCCCGAGAGTCAACATCTGGAAGTGGCTGAAGTTGGGAATAACATATAGTTTCCTGATTCTAGTATATTTCCTTATTCTAGTTACTTAATATGGCTGAACTAGGAAACAAAGATATTGTTTCCTAATTTTGTTTTAAGTCCTAATTCTAGTCTTGTTTCTAATTCTTGTTTCTTTCCTTTTTAGAACTCTAAGCAGCCTCTCTACATAAAGGGGTTTTTGCTACGGAATATAGGAGGTTTTTTGGAGAATTAATTTGTGCATCTTGACAAGGTCAGGCGCCGATTAATTTAATGAGAATAGCTTCATTAAATTCTGCTGATTACTCTTCTCTTTCCCAATTAATATCTCGAACGCATCCCTGGACTAGGGCTAGCTCTCACCTCCTTAACAGTTTCACTTATCATTTATTTATATGTGGATGACTTACTTGTTACTGGCAACAATAAATTGGTTGTAGAAACAATTAGAGAAGAGATGAAATCGGAATTTGAAATGAGTGATCTCGGAGAGTTCTCATACTTTTTTGGAATTGAGTTTGCTTATACAAAGAAAGGGATCATGTTTCATCAGAAAAGATATGCATTAGATATCTTAAAGAGATTCACAATGGAGAGGTGCAATCCAGTTGTTACACCAACTGAAATCAATTTAAAACTTAGCAAGAATAGAGAAGAAAAGGAGGTGGATTCAACTCTCTATAAGCAAATGATTGGAAGCCTAAGGTTCTTATGCTATAGCAGGCCTGAGTTGAGCTATAGTGTAGGACTTCTAAGTAGATTCATGGTCAGCTCAAGGCTGAGCCAAGGCACTAGGCCGGACTGGGCCGATACAAAGAATATTTTTGAACATTTTTTTGCTTTGAATTTTTTACACTAAAAATAAAGACATTTTTTAAATTTGGGCTGGGTTAGGGCCAAGGTTGGCCCTCCCCTATCTCCGCCCCTGGCTTAAGGATCTCTCAATTTGTTGCAGTAAACGGGGTGTTGAGATATTTCTATCATTTGCAATGGAGCCAAAGATTCATTATTTTTTGGCTTGAGAATATGATGGAATAAAGCAAAATGGCTCATTAAACTGTCTGCGCTTCTTTGTTATGAAGCAGTAGTCAGTCCATGCAATTTTGGACGCGGTTTTCACTACGGGTCATCCGGAAACAGTCTCTCTGTGCTTTAGTACAAGGGTAAGACTGCGTACATCCAACCCCCCTTACCCCACCGTAGGTGGGAGCCTTTGCGGCACTGGGGTAAATGAAAATGAAATGAAAAATGAAAAAATGGTGTTGAGATATGTTAGAGGCACTACAGATTTTGATGTGTTACTGCCTAGTAATAATCAGCTACAAGGTGATATGCTATTGGGCTATTCTAATTCAGACTAGAACAAAGATATTGATGAAAGGAGAACACATACGGGTATGTGTTTACAGTTTGTCAAGCTCAAGTATCATGGTGTTCAAAGAAAAGTGATTCTGTATCACTTTCTACTTGTGAGGTAGAATACATCTCAGCCTGTCATGCCTCATGTCAGGTTTTATGGTTGAGGTCATTGTTATGGACTTATGGTTGATGATTGATAATAAATCTGCAGTTAGCTTGGCTAAAAATCCAGTTGCTCATGGCAAAAGCAAACACATTGACACAAAATACCATTTTTGAGAGAAAATGTCAGCAAAGGAAAGATTAAAGTTTAATATTGCAAGACAGAACTTCAGTTAGCTGATATCCTCACAAAATCACTTCCACCTCAAAGGTTTATAGAGCTAAGATAGCTATTGAATGTATTTTCACTTTCACTACTTCAGGAAGCATAGTTTTATGTGTTGCTTGTTGTTCTACTGATTTTGTGTTGTGCAGAATTAAGGGAGCATGTTGTTTAGTTAATAATTCTGCACTTGTAATATTGGGCTTGATTCTCATACTGTAAAGCTACGGCCCATGTAATAAGTGGACTAATTACCACATGTAGTTATATGCTAAACTGAATTGGTTTAGTGAGTTAGTTGAATAACAGAATTTAGATTGTTCGTTCTTCTTTTATTCCTTTCTTTCTGTATCTGCGATCAGGGGCGGACCGTAGTGCAGACCCAGGGGGCGGTCGCCCCTCAACAACAAAATTTTTTAGTGTATATATATAATAAAAAATAATTTTCGCCCTCCCAAAAAATATTTTGTTTAAGTTACCGCCCTCCCAAGACAAACTTCCTGGGTCCGCCCCTATCTGTGATCCAAAAGAGCTGGATTCAGTCACAGCCCTACACCATTAGACTTCAATGAGGACATCAAATACCGCAAATGATATTTATTCGATTACTTTTTTTGACCTCTTAAGCATAACAAATCGTATTGTGTTAATTTTTAATGATTTGCAATCAATTCTTGTTTAACCACATGAGCACACATGGAATTAATTCCAGTTTTAGTCTGCCAGTACAGTATCATGGTATATGACTCAACCTGAAATTAATAATCTTTGCATACACATACTAACGCTCAAAGAGTTCACATGAAATACACGCAGAATTAAAAAAACAAAGAAAAACGGTACTTTCAATATTTAAATCGACTTCATTAAGCGGCTAATCACGTTGTCTTCATACGACTATGAAAATACCATTTCTTATTAATATATCTTTTGTATAAAAACAAGCTAGAAACGCACTTGAAATTTTAAAAGAAATAATGTAATGCCAAAAAAAGTCTGACATGGGGATCTAGCGAACTGACCTCGTAGAGCCTCGTCCTTTCGGTCTTGAACGGATATAAGATCGGCGGGGAAGTGGTAGTCGTCAACAGCAAGAGACGCCACAAGCGGAACGTTTGCACCGAAAATTGCCGTCGTAGATATCGAAGACCTCGCAGGAGACGACATCAGCGGATTGTTACTGCTACTCATCTGTATCGTTCAGAAGACTCACCAAACACACAGATGCAGGGTGAATTCTGTCGGGTTGAGGTTGATGAATCCGGGCCAGCTGAACCCATCCCGGGCATAAGCAGCTTTCTATTTGGCTGATCTTCACGTTGCGGAATTGAAGGATTGGAATTCTGATCTTAACGTAATTTGAATTGAATTAGAGTTGTAAACAAATAACACTATTCCAATTTTTCAAATTGGAATACAAACAAAAATATTAAATTTGATTCGAACCGTTATGGATCACACATAACCTTTAATGATTTGAAAAGTACAAGCGTGTGCGCTGTGCGCGTGCGCGTGGGCGGGGCGTGTGCGGGCGGGGTGGGTGGGTGGGTGCGCACGTGTGCGTGCGTGTGTGGGTGGGTGGGTGGGTGGGCGGGCATGTGTGCGTGTGTGTGCCTGCGCGTGTGCGTGCGTGTGTGAGAGTGTGTGCGTGTGTGTAAGATATGAGGCACATTGTTTTTTAATAATTTATTTACAAGCTTTTTTATTAAATTGTAAGCTGCAATTTTGTTGACATATCTACATTTCATGAAAAATGTGCTTATAAAGTTTAACCATAAAATTCTGACTGGAAGAACCTAAAACGGGTTTCTCCGTACGACACCCAGCCAATCCAGACAGAAGAGATTATCTAAAATATTATAATCATGAATAGAGGTAAGGGCTTGAGTGGCATCTAAAAAATGTTGGTATAACACAAAAGTTAAAGGAGGTTGTATTCTAACTTTAACCCCTTGTACACAAGATTTGGTTTTAACGTATACGTTGTTACGCCGTTAAGTTCATAATCAGTTACGCCTTCATACTTCTAATCTATTCTGTTGCTCCGTGATAATAATTTCAATATAATGATTTCATTATCCACTAGCTAGAGGTTATGGGAATGCTAAACGCCTCAACACTTGCAGAATCCAAAATAAGACAAATCTTCATGTCAGGTCGGCCTGACGGGATGCTCCGTCCGGCCGAGCCCGTTTGGGCACCTTCCCGGTGGAATTTTTTGATGAATTTTTTTGAGCATGTTACTCATCAAGTCTAGTTTGTCCATACCAAATTTCAGCTCAAAATTCAATCGGGAAGACATTCAAATCATTTTTTGAAGTTGACTGCAGTTTTATATGCATATTTTGACGCAGTCAACTTCAAAAAATGATTTGAATGTCTTCCCGATTAAATTTTAAGCTGAAATTTGGTATGGACAAACTAGACTTGATGAGTAACATGCTCAAAAAAATTCATCAAAAAATTCCACCGGGAAGGTGCCCAAACGGGCTCGGCCGGACGGAGCATCCCGTCAGGCCGGCCTGACAAGAAGACCACTCTCCAAATTAATACGGGTGAATCATATTTCAAGTTGAGTTGACAATTGTTGGCTGGCTTGGGCCATCTCCTCAATGGGCCGCATCAAAAGACTCACATTTAATTCTTCGTAAAACAAATACATGTACGTAGTTGCTTATATTTGAGATAGTGTGAAATGCTTTATTTACCAAATGATAATATAGGGTTGTTTCTAATTTGTCAAAAAAAGTTATGGGACATCTATCCCTTAGATGTAGCTCATTTCTAAAACTTCATTTCATTTTAGCCCAAACATGTTATATTAATCCAATAGCTTTCTAGTACCTCTTTTAAGAACCACTTAAAGAGAAGTTACGTGTACTGTGTCATTCACATTTTTCATACAAATGAGGTAATGTATGAATGGAGTAGTATGTATCTTTTTATACAAATGAGGTAATGTATGAATAGTATGTATCTAAGTGGCACGAAAACGTGAAAAGCAAACGGGAAACAAGAGAAAGGTGATTTTTAAAAGTATGTGTAAACATTAATAAGCATGAGAACATATTTATAAATATTCTTTTGTATTTGTATGCACGTTTTTTCATGTAATGATTATTCCGTACAAATTTAGACATTAGCCTTAAATGCGAGTAAAATAGCTTCCGAATGCAATAATAATAAGACTATAGTCGTTTTATTCTCAAAATAAAAAGTAATAATGCTTTGTCTTCTTATGAATACTAGCTAATTAGGTTTTCACTAATCCGCTTCGTGCGGGTCATGAGGCGGGTCTGGGGTTTGCACTAATCCGCCCTACCCTGGACACATAGTTGTGCCTACATATATCCATCAGTAGATAGAATTCGTTAATTTGAAAGCTTTTAAGTATGTGCAAATTCGTACAATTCGTATTTCCTTAAAAAATTGTTGGGCATTATCCCGCTCGCGCAACGCGCGACCCAAAAACTAGCGAAATAATAAGATGGAATAATGGCTCACCCTAATAGGGTGTCCTGGTGGTCTATATATAAAATAGAGAATGTCAAAATTACATCAATGTCCCAATACTATAGATTATTACACCCCCTCAATCTGTGCAAGGGAAACAACGCGCAGATTGGAACGTAAAAATTCAAAACGCTGACTAGATAAATTTTTAGTAAAAAGTCAGCCAATTGTAGTTGAGTGGGAACATATTTGACCACCAGATCTCCATGAGCAACTCGTTCTCTGACAAAATGATAATCAATCTTAATGTGTTTGCTATGATCATGCTGAATCGGATTCACAGCTAGATAGGAAGCGGACAAATTATCACAATGAAGCTGAACAGGCGTGGAGAGCCGAATACCCATCTCGGTCAGAAGGGAGCAAATGAAAATAGTATCCTGGACAGTGTAGGCTATGGCACGATACTCAGGTTCAGTGGAAGATTTCGAAACAGTGGGTTGCTTTTTGGATAGCCGTGAGATAAGATTAGGACCCAGAAAAATTGCATACCAAGTCGTAGAACGACAACTATCTGGACAGCCTACCCAATCAGCATCAGAATAGTCCACAATAAGAGAAATGTCACGATTAGCCTCAAGCCACAAACCATAATCTGTAGTACCCTGCAAATATTTGTAAATACGCTGCTTCACAGCTAGAAGGTGAGTAGTACGAGGTGCACGCATAAACTGAGAGACCAAATGTACAACATAAGTAATATCAGATCTAGTCAAAGTCAAATACGGTAAAACACCTACCATACTACGATACTTGGTAGCATCAAGGGAAAATGGAAACTAATAATCCAACCTTTTAACGGTCTTCTTTTAATAATCCGACCTTTTCGTTATTCATGAATAATCCAACCTCTGCACCTCATCTTCATTCATTGGTCCCCGACCGGTTGATGACCTGCTATTCCGAGTTATTTTCTTACCTCTGCAAACTATTATACCATAAATTCCGCCTTTCACAAAGATAATATTTTGCAAAGATAAGAAAATAACTTGGAATAGCAGGTCATCAACCGGTCAGGGACCAATGAATGAAGATGAGGTGCAAAGGTTGGATTATTCATGAATAACGAAAATGTGGGACTATTAAAAGAAGACCGCTAAAAGGTTGGATTATTAGTTTCTATTTTCCCTAGCATCAATGAGAAGTTCACCAAGAAGACCGCTAAAAGGTTGGATTATTAGTTTCTATTTTCGCAGAGGGGTGCGAACAGGCTTAACAGTATGTAGATGAAATCAGCGTAATAAGTCAGAAATATATTTTTGTTGAGAGAGAAACAAGCCCTTAGACGTATGCCGAGCCTAAGGACCCAAGAAAAAATTAATATCACCCAAGTCCTTCATAGCAAACTGAGTAGATAGGGAGTGAATTATAGACCGAACAAGAGATAATGATGAGCCAGTGATTAAAATATCATCCACATATAGCAGAATATAAACAACCTGAGACTGCTGACGAAGGACAAACATGGAAGAGTCGGACTTACTTTGAGAAAATCCACAAGATAAAAGAAAACCACTGAACGTGTGAAACCAAGCTTGAGGAGCCTGTTTTAGACCATATAACGCCTTTTTGAGGCAACACACATTTTAGGAAAAGAAGTATGGACAAAACCTCGAGGCTGACGCATATATACCTCTTCTGTAAGATGACCATGAAGGAACACATTTTTAACATCTAACTGACGAATACACCAACCAAGAGAAACAACAATAGATAACATAAGACGCACAGTGGTTGGTTTGACTATAGGACTAAAGATTTCAGTAAAATCCACACCAGCCTGTTGTTTAAATCCCTGAGCAACTAAATGCGCCTTGTGGCGCTCAACGGACCCATCAGAATTATATTTTGTCTTAAAAACGCACTTACAACCGACCACATTTTTCATGCCATCCCAAGGTACCAAATCCCAAGTCTGATTAGAAGATAGCACATTAAATTCATCAGCCATGGCAGCCCGCCAAATAAAATGTTTTTGAGCTTCAGAAAAGCAGGTAGAATCAGCCGGGGGCGAAAAAGAACTTAAAGTAAAAATTTGTTTGGGCTTATAAATACCATCCCTAGCTCTAGTTTGCATGGAGTGATAGTTGACTAGAGGTAGCGAATTCTAAGTCATAAATTAATAAAATTCCCTTAATAGTACGCTAATGCCTAATAATAGGTTAAAATAACTTTGATTTTACCGGTGGGGACCGCAAGTGTGAAGAGAGATTTTTCGGCCATGAAGATCATGAAATAAAGCTCAATTGAAGGTGGAAGCTGTTTTTTAATTACTTTTATTGAAAAAGATACTAAAAATATTCAAATGTTCTCACAAAGAAAAAGTTGTACAACATTTTTAAAATTTTAAAATGTGTCCTGAACAATTGTGAATTAGCACTTCTATTGATTTTATAAATGACAATCTTTATTATTTTGCTTTACATATTTACACATTATTATATTGTATATAACATTATTTTACTCTATTGACACTACTGAGAAGTAATGCTGTAGTAGAGGTATTCTTGACTGTTTGTGATTGCTTTATTACAGAATAACTATTACTGAAATTATTGAAAGAGTAAAACGTATATTAGAATTTAGAAGATAGGTGGACTATATATTTGATCAAATTGGGATATGAATGATTGAAGAATTATATTCGTATAAACAATATATTTCTAATTTTATAATTTTATAATGAACTTTGTAATTTTATACTCCATACATATAATTGAATTGAGCCGCGATGTTTATGATTGTGCTTCATAATTCTTTAAAGTTCATAATACTTAATCTCTATTATCTTTTCAAAGTTGTGTTTGACATAGGGTTGCACAAGAATAACCCGAACCCGCATAACCCGCCCGACCCAACCCTACCCGACCCTATTTACTCGGGTTTTGATTTTAAAAAATA